TTTGCTAACATGGGAAGCCAAGGGAGAACTAGCAACTAGTGATTTGTGGAAAAAAATGAGTGATGGTAGTTTTAATTTACCGCCTAGTTGTCCGCTTCCTGGAAGTAATACTAATATGCCTTTTGTTTTTCTGGGTCTCGGAGCTTTTACTCTCAGTACTCATATCATGAAGCCCTTTCCTGGTCATTATTCGTTACAGTCTCCAAAAAGAATGTTAAACCAAAAACTATCACGTTCTCGTGCAGTGGTTGAAAATATTTTCTGGATATTATCATCAGTTTTTAGAATACTGAAAAGAGCACTTCCTTTTAACGACATCTCTATAGATATCGTTAAAATTTCTATTATAACCTATAGTTGTATATTACTACATAATTTTTTAAGAAAAAGTATATCATCTCGCAATATTTTATACTCCACCAGGATGTATCTACTGACACCTTTGATAAAGATGGTATGCTAATCCGTGTAGGTGTGGGAGTGAACCGTGAAGGAAATTTATTATTACAATCTGTGCCTCGTAAGACAACTATTAACGTCATGCAAATAAGAACAAAATTTGTGAATTACATCCACCAAAACCGCATAAACCAAACATAAGGCAAAATATTAGTGGATATTTGTACAATTTAATTATTAAATAATTATATCATTACTATCATACCTATTCAATAAAAAATAAATATTGTGATTTACTTATTTGTTTTACTTACTTTGTCCTTCTGTCGATATTATGCTTTGCACTTATATTTCTCTTTTAAAAATGACTCCATAGCATCATAGAACACCCAAATAGACTAAATTATGTAAATTTCTATAATATATAATAACTTATGTAAATTTCTTCTTCACACATACCAGACCAAATAGAATCTTATTTTTTTAATGGAACCGAAATGCTGTCATTAATGTCTCTCTCTTTTTTTAAGTTCAGAAACAGAAATTTGAAGGGAGTATGTTATACGATTCAATGCATCATTAACCTAATAAAAACCAAGCCATGTGAAGATGAACGTCGCGTTCTTCGTCTTACGCGCTAACAGTGATCAACCAGTTACTGGCCCCCTTGCCAATGCCACACCTCGACGGGTTCGGGAAGCAACGCGGTCGGCGTGACCCCCGATAAGACGTTTATCTCAGAAACACAAACTGCTCTCTCAAAGATAGTGGTTGATGACTGAGATTACTGGTCCCGTGGATAGTCCCCGGTCTAGACGTCAGACATGAACTTAGTAAACTGTATATCTTCTTCAATTCTCTACTTATAGGGTAGACACTGGTGAAATAAAACAGCAATTACTCGTAACTGCCCCTCGGAAATGTGACATTGAATTTAACTACTTTCATTTCCATTTCCATGATCCGTTTTTCTTTTTTGATTTGATTAGAACTGGTAACTGTAGCTTTTCCCGAACTGTACCGAACATATTGCAAAAAGCGATTTACTTAAGTACCAACGAACTAAACCTTAAAGTGATACAGGTGCAAAAAGCCTCCTGTTTCGCACATAATTTTCACTATCACATTTCCATAATTTGCATCGTAACTTTATTTCTTATAAAAAGCACACATTACAATAATATTTCCCAAAAAGAACAAATTTAAACACGACATAAAAACAATAAAACATTTACATTATATAAGGCATTAATAAAACGTAAAACATAATATCACTTTTCACAAACAATTTCGTATGGTCATAGACCTTAAAACTCTAAATATAACTTTTATTACATCCTAAAACACTAAATACAATTTTCATAGTACAGTTTCCATCAATAATTTTACTTATCTGAAACATTTCAACAGTTTAATGCGAGGATTAAAACTTTAAACAGATCTTTAAGTAAAACTTTAAGCAAAATTGCACTTAATGTTCTATTTAATATTTCCATTATCTCATAATCTAATACATAATCTAATCTAATCTCATAATCTAGCAAAAACAAATACAAGTTGATATTACATTTATTTTAGAAAACTAAAAATACGACAAAAATACAATTTAATTAATATTTTAATTATTTTAGTGTTTCTATAAAACGGTTCTTTCTTGCCCGTTTTTCTGCAGAAAACCTTTACAAGGTGTCGAACCTAACCCTGCACGATCTTCTGGACTATATAGGAGGCTCTTGCCATCCCTTTCTACTATTTATACTTGTCCTATACATATACACCTTTTCACTCAAGTATTAACCTGTCCTTATCTAACACATTGAAATGCCTTATCTTTAATTAAATCATAGTATGTAAACAATCAAAGTGCTTAAAAGAAATAAAATGTTTTTAATTCTTTATTCATATCGTATTACATAGCTGATTAGTATGTTAATGCATGACTCGTAGTTAATACTATAACTTTTCTTTACTCTTTTTTTACTCAGAAATTAGCATTTAATAAAATTAATTATTTTTGACACTTAATCTAAAAGAAACATTGAAATATTTAATGAGATGATTATCTCGCGTCGCCAACAACCTCCCCTCGTGCGCCATCTCCATCATTCGGGAGGCGTCGCGGGTACCAGGACTCATCAAAATACCTTCGTGATGACGTCCACAACCCTAGTGTGACCATCTTTTCCTGGTGAGGTCCGGTGAATCTTACCTCGCGGCCAAGTGTTACGTGGTAACAAATGATCTATTATCAAAACGATATCGCCTACTATCTCTCTATGAACTCTATGCACTATATATCTATGGCTCCATGAACTTGCCATTATCGCCCGTCCGAGGTATTAATGTTGGCATTTACTCTTTCAGCCGTCTAGACCAAAAATTATCAGCTGACTTCTTGGCCGCTTTTTATCTCTCATCTACATCAACGACCTATGTAATATAAAGATCCATAACGCCAGAGTCTTGTCATACGCTGATGATACGGCCGTAGTCTTTGCCGGTGATTCTTGGGAGAAAGTCAATATTAGTGCTGAGGTAGGCCTGTAGCGAATCGCTCTGTGGCTGAAACACAACCTTCTGACGCTAAATACTTTTAAAACAAACTTTATCTGTTTTAGTATTAACAACTCGCAACCTCAGGCCGACTTCAGCCTAAAAATTCGTGAATGTACAATGGACACTAATAAAAACACCTGTAACTGCCCTAGAATCAATAAGGTAGCTCAGACAAAATATCTGGGGGTAATTGTAGATCAAAGACTATCCTGGTACCCACACCTTGATCATGTCATCAATAGAACGAGGAAACTAACATGGATCTTCAAAACCCTTAGACGTGTAATGCTGGGCAAATCAGATCAGAGGGGAGTCACCAAATTATCTCCTCAACCAAATTTACATTGCTCTTGCTCAACCCGTCATGGCCTATTGTATTCCTGTCTGGGGTTGTGCAGCGAAAACTCAATTTCTGGAGTTAGAGAGGGCACAGCGTTCTCTTATTAAAGTTATGTACTTTAAGAAGAAGCGTTTTTCTACCGATCTTCTATATCAAACCAGTGGTTTACTCTCTGTCAGGAAGTTGTATATATTCTGGACAATCCTCAAAACACACAAATCATTATTTTATGATCCACGCCATTTAAATAAACGTCGTAGAAACGTTGCCCAGACGTACAGAGCTAAAACCACATTTGCAAGCAGACAATACATATCGCGTTCTGCCTTTCTTTATAATAAAATAAACAAAGAAGTACATATATATGGCAAAACATATCATAACTGTAAAAAACTTTTGTTGAAATGGATTCAACATAAGACATATGATGATACTGAAAAGCTTCTGGATCGTGTTATATATGATTTGTACAGATTCTGACACTCTAATCACACACACTCATTTTAACTCATGCAAGCGAAGACACACACACACACACGCACACACGCACACGCGCACACACGCACACGCGCACAAGCGCACACGCGCACACGCGCACACGCGCGCACGCGCGCACGCACACGCACACGCACGGGCACGCAAACGCGCACGCGCACGCACACACGCACACGCTGCGCACGCGCACGCGCACGACACGCACACGCACACGCACACGCACACGCACACGCACCCGCACCCGCACGCGCACGCACGCACACGCACACTCACACGCACGCGCACGCGAACACGCACACGCACACACACACACACACACACACACCACACACGTATACATAAATAAATTAACTTTCACTCACATACCATACAGTATTTATAAGTAGACTAGTTCCTATCGTTTGATTGTCCTAATTTTAGAATATAAGTAATATATATGTAGATAACTTTAATATATGATATAGAATATGTTTACCCATACTGCCATATAACATGAATAGGTATAGTAATGTAAGTGCGGACCCTCCAAACACAGGCATTTTTTGCTTAAATGGAGGTTCCAATCTACTAGTTCTTAAGGCATGTACTTTTTAAAACGAAATAAAATTTATTTATTATTATTATTATTTCCAGCTAGGTTAACCAATTAAATGTTTATCCATAAACTAACCAGGTAGACTATCTCAACATGAACGTTCGAGAAGAAAATGATTTGGAGTCAAGCCCTCTTCAGGACTATCCATATTTATCGAAACTGATGGTCGCCAATTGACCGTGTGCTCTGCCTCTAAGAGCAATGTATGCAACACTTATTCTCGCGGACTTCTCTCTTTAAGCGTTGCGATCAACGCAGTATTAATTAGATAAATAGATAGATAAAAGCGTTTGTTTGTTTCTCCAGTCACACACGTAAATTTTATTTTAAACTAGATACAAAGCAGAGTATTATGAAAAAAGTTACATAAACTTAAGATCTAAATGTACAGGTGTGTTGCAGTTTAACAAATGGGTCATAACTCAGCGATTAATATTGCTCAGAGAGCAAACACTGATTTTCAGCTATTACCCTCGAAATGTCGAGAAGAAAATGAGCACAATAGTATAATCATACAGAAAGGAAAAACATTTAGTTTAAATAAGTGTGAATGATGTGTCCCTTTAGCCCTACGACTTATATCTTGGGTTAAATTTAGTAAAAATTACTGAAAACATGTGTAAGTGTGTAAGACTGCGTGGCTTCAAAATTAGGGTGTTTTTCGGTAGATTTTGTGACAAAACTAAACCAAATCAAATATAAGTAAAAACTACCATGTATAGATTGGTTCTTCATCTGCAAACGTCTGTAACTCTTTTGTTGAAAATAGTAGTTTTTTATATTGTAAAAACGAACTTTCGTTGCCATCTTCTACAAAATTAACGATACCGGTTTGTGTTTCGGTACATGTTTTGGTCTATTATCAACATATTTAAAAAATTTAAAAAATACTATAAGATGACAGACATATTCAATTAAAAAACTCTGGGTTTATTTTTTAACAAAATGTCACAAATAGTCGTAAAAAAAAAAAAACTGATGCACATTTTTTCACATATTTTGGTAATACGGATGAATCTATTGCAATAAGGGCTATTTTATTGTTGGTGCCTGCTTTGATTTATTGTACAAAGATTTCGATGAAACCACAGTCCGCGCCCGCCTAAGGGTATTAGTGTTCTGTGGTCCGCTCTCGGCCGCCGTCGTGAGTGGACCCTGTATCGCCTGTTTGCAGCGGCTCATTCTGAAAAGATCGCTGTACATACACAAAATATTAGAAAAAAACAAATTGGAAACATAAGTACTTGACAAGTGATAAAATTATTATTTTTATACTCACAGTTTTTTATTTAGCTAAAAATAAGTAGGATATATAAACTTACCTACTACTGCAACTCCTGGACGAGCGGAACTAGGTGTGCCGAGTTTGGGCTCGTTTTGTTGGTTATGATGAGACCTTACCTCCGGACTTGATGGCGTGACCTGAAGGTGTACTTTCGTGACCGCTATTTGAACTTCTTGCAGAGTAAAACTAGGGGTGGCGAATTTGGGCTCCGTTTTGTTAGTTATGACGAGTCCATACCTCCGGACTTGATGGAGAGACCTGAAGGTGTAAATCGGTGATTGCAACTGGAACTCCTAGACTGGTAGAACTAGGTGTGCCGAGTTTGGGTTCGTTTTGTAGGTTATAATGAGACCTTACCACCGGACTTGATGGAGTGACCTGAAAGTGTAGTTCGGTGATTACAAGTGGAACTCCTAGACTTGTAGAACTAGGTGTGCCGAGTTTGGGTTCGTTTTGTTAGTTATGATGAGACCTTACCACCAGACTTGATAGAGTGACCTGAGGGGGTAATTCAGTAACTACTGCTGGATTTTCTTAACGAGTAGAACTATGTGTGCCGAATTTGGGCTTCGTTTTGTTAGTTATGACGAGTCCATACCTCCGGACTTGATGGAGTGACCTGAAGGTGTAAATCGGTGATTGCAACTGGAACTCCCAGACTGGTAGAACTAGGTGTGCCGAGTTTGGGTTCGTTTTGTAGGTTATGATGAGACCTTACCACCGAACTTGATGGAATGATCAGAAGGTGTAGTTCAGTAATTACAAGTGGAAGTCCTAGACTTGTAGAACTAGGTGTGCCGAGTTTGGGTTCGTTTTGTTAGTTACGATGAGACCTTACCACCGGACTTGATTGAGTGACCTGAAGGTGTAATCAGGTGGTTACAAATGGAACTCCTAGACTAGTAGAACTAGGTGTGACGAGTTTGGTTTCGTTTTGTTAGTTACGATAAGACCTTACCACCGGACTTGATGGAGTGAAATTCGGCACACCTAGTTCTACTGGTTCAGAAATTCCAGCAGTAGTTACTGAATTACCCATAATTATTATAATTATAATTATTGCATAATTATTTAATTCACAAATAACATCAAAAACCTTCTAAAACCTTTTGAGTTTAGTTAATTAATTATATATAGGTGTTGCCAGGAGACTTTTCCTTCATTGATAAAGTAATCTGCAAATATATCTCTGATATTACTTGCCGACGTATTACTACTTTCAGTCTGCTGCCTGGGTAGTGGTCCCGTAAAACCATTTGTGACAAATGTATGGCTGACCTTGTAGCCATCCCGTTTCCTTATGAAATTGTGAAGTACACATGCCGTCTTGACTATTAATTGTGCTAGATCTAACTTGACATTCATGGATCTGTGAAATATTCTAAATTTATTTGACATAATTCCAAAAGTGCATTCTATGTACCTTCTAGCTCTGGACAGACGGTAATTAAATATTTTCTTTTTGTAAGGTAAATTATCACGAGCATAAGGCCGCATCACATGTGATGATAAACCAAATGCCTCGTCTCCCACTATCACGAACGGCAACTTTGCTCTTACACTAGATGGATAAGCTACTTCGGGGCAAATAATAGGCAACTCTTGCGGGTCAGGGATACCCAACGTGTTACTTTCCAGTTTCGTATACAATTGACTCCTTCTAAAGATGGTTGAATCGGCGTTGCTTCCACTGGTACCGACATTAATATATGTAAAATTATAATCAGCATCACACATTGCGAGGAGCACTACAGAATAATATTTCTTATAATTAAAATATAGTGATCCACTGTGCGGCGGCCGAATCACTCTTATATGTTTTCCATCAATTGCACCCAAGCAATTAGGAAAATTTGTATATGTGAGAAATCCCTCTGCGATTTCTTTCCATTTGATCCCATTAAGCTGTGGAATACATTCAGACTTTAGTTCAATCCATATTATGTAACAAACTTGTCTTACTATTTCGCTAATTGTTGCAATTCTAATCACATAGGAATAGTGTAGATCAGTGAATGTATTACCAGTTGCCAAATATCTGAAAACAAAAACAATATATTAATAATATGATAACATAATATATTAATAATGCTGACATCAGACATACGAGGGTGGATTGAAAAGTACTCGGCCTAACACAGATCCATTCAATTCTAAAAATCAAATCTACCCACATTATTTAGTTCAGTTCAGACTAGTTCATTGTGTGAAGTTCGAAACGTGTGCGATAATTAGTTGTGATTTTATAAATTTATTAACAAAGTAATCGGACATAATTTCCGCGAATGGAGCAAATCGAGCAGCGTGCCGTCATTAAGTACCTCCATAAGAAGGGGCTATCATCAAAAGCCACCCATGATGACATGGTCAGTACATTAGGAGATCGTGCTCTGTCATATTCATCCGTCAAAAAATGGATAGCAGAATTTAAGCGTGGTAGAGAGAGTGTGAAAGATGAACCCCGCTCTGGAAGGCCTTCGACGTCAACTACTGACGAAAATATTAAAAAAGTACTTGATTTAATAATGGGAGACCGCAGATTAAAAATTAGAGAGATAGCCGAGATTATAGGCATCTCTTATGAACGAACTCAAAACATCATTGTCAACGAGTTGGGTTTCCACAAGGTGTCTGCGAGGTGGGTTCCGCGACTGCTTTCAGTTGAACAAAAAAGGACGCGATTGACTATTTCACGCGACTGTTTGGAGTTATTTGAAGCCGATGCAGATGATTTTTTTGAATCGTTTTGTTACTATGGACGAAACATGGGTTCATTACTGTACACCGGAAACAAAACAACAATCAAAACAGTGGAGAAGACCTGGTTCACCGCCCCCTAAAAAAGGCTAAGTCGATTTTGTCGGCAAATAAGGTGATGGCTTCAGTATTCTGGGACTCGAAAGGTGTGATTATGATTGATTATCTTGAAAGGGGTCAGACTATAAACTCTGATTACTACTGCACCTTACTACGTCATTTACGAGAGGAAATAAAAGAAAAACGTCGAGGAATGCTCAGAAGAAAAGTCCTGTTTCATCAAGATAACGCCCGTGTTCACACGTCAGTACAGTCAATGGCTGAAATTCACAACTGTGGCTTTGAACTGTTACTGCATCCGCCGTATTCACCTGATCTGGCACCATCAGACTTCTTTCTGTTCCTTAACCTAAAAAAGCACTTGGGAGGTCAAAGATTTTCGACAAACGACGAGGTCAAAGCAGCTGTGGACGCATATTTTGACTCTAAGGAAGAATCATTTTTTTTCAACGGTCTAAATGCTTGGAAGGGGAGGTGGCAAAAGCGTATTGAACTTGATGGTGATTATGTAGAAAAATAAAAATATAACTGATTTAGTATGTGTTTATTTTCTTGGTTAGGCCGAGTACTTTTCAATCCACCCTCGTAAGACAGCATGCACCGCTCGAATTTTACTTCAGAAGAAAAATAAATACCCTTAAGGTGAAAGGGCACGGAAGTAGCTAGCGCTAGAAGTTTTTAATTCGTTTTAACTACAGTACTATAGCTACGTTAGATTTCTATGATTTGCCGAAAATTTTATCATAGGGGGGTATTTATGCAGTTATGATTTCATATGAAAAGTTCGAGTATAGTTATGTATCTCATATCTGCTAAAAGTGGCCACTTTTAGCAGATTTGAGACACATAACTATGCTGTAAATATTTTATAAGAAATCTTCTCTGTATAAATTAACCCCTATGGTAAAATTTCCGGCAAATGAAAGGAATCTAATAAATATATATAATATAATATAATGAAATATCGTTTATTTCAGGCAATATTTACATTACAAGATGTCCTCCTTCATGAAGGTTGACAGATGCAAATAAAGCAAATTTTTGTTAAAACATTATTTTTCCACTCTGTATAGGTATATATATATTGCTTGATTTATCTAATGCTTCATGAGACAGTGTAAAGTTGACAACATGTGTGAATTAAGGAGGGCCTTTAATCGAATGCAGTTAAATTTCCAACTAATATCAGATTTGTACACACGGCCACAGATCAAGCTTCCCAAAACCAGTATAAACAGGACTCATGCGTTGTTTATTATCGTAGACGACTCGGCGCCCGGCGAGGCCCTAGCAAGTTCCGTTTATTGGTACTGGTTTTGGGTAACTTGATCTGAAACTGTGTGTACTTTTGCCACTTACTTATTATATTTTGTCATTTCAGACAAGAAAATACAACAACGCTGGCGAACAGCAAGGGACACTTACCAGAAAGACAAGATATCTGAAAAAAATCAGCCATCCGGCTCTGGGAGTAAGAAGAAGAAGAAGAAATATTCTTACTATGACATTTTGACTTTCTTAGACAGTACAACGGAAACTGCTGGAGAAGAGTCACTCTGTGAAGAAATGTCTGAACAAAGTAATTTAGAAACACCTAATGAGTCCACGCAACCAGATACTTCACGTCAAGAAAGTTCTCACCCAACATCAAAACAAAAACAAGTAAAATCTAAAAAGCAAGCACCATCTGAATTTGAGGCACAGTTATTAGAATGCTTAAAGTCTAATCAACTGGAGCTAGAAAGTGAGGATTTGGCTTTCTTTCAGTCTCTGCAGCCTTCATTAAAAAAAATTCACTAGATATCAAAAACTAATGTTCAGAACAAAAGTGTTAAATATAGTTATGGAAATGGAAAGTCAAACACAACCTGCATACTACAGTCCCATACCTACAACAAGTTCTAGTGCTTTTACTGAGCTTGACAGTTTGTCACCGATAAATCAAGATTACCAAACCAATAGTATAATCCAGGATACTTCGAGTCTTAACGACAATGCTATTAGTTCTGCTGCAGTGAATGACAATGAAACTCTTATTTCGACTGAAAGCGGCCTGTTTAATATCACGTCTTATGACGTAATTTATACCCCAGCAACAACATCATCTACAGGCGAAAGTAATGTCAACGCTCAGGATACAAATTTACAAAGAAATGAATGATGTAAAATTTGATTTTTTAATTTATGAATAAAACTCTTTTTTATTAAAATGAGTACGATTAACTTTTTTTCTCCAGTTTCTCTCTAATTGTTTGTTTAGTCATATGAGTGCGGTTGTACACACGGCACAGATCAAGTTACTCAAATCCAGTATAAGCGGGACTCCGACGGGTTACCTAAGTATGATAATACGCAAGGCGCGAGTTCCATTTATGCTGGTTTTGGGTAACTTGATCTGTGGCCATGTGTACTTTATCAGATAAAAAAAAGGATTGTGTATGTAGGTTGAACGTACCAATCCCAAACCAATTAAGGACTTTTTTTGACTTTAAATTACTGTCATGTGCAAACCTATAACTTTTATCTATATTATAATAAGTAGCGTGTGATGAAAGGTAGGAATGATTCCACTTTAATGGCGACATTTTATGAGTGAAATAATCTTATTTAATGAAATTTCAACATGAAATTCAATGAAATTATGAACAATGAAATTTCAGAGTACATGACAAAATTTTTTTTTTTGCACATGTAAATTTACACATGACAGTAATTTGAAGTCAAAAAACGTTTATCCTACCTGTTCAAATCCCTTTCCACTAAATCATAGCAGGAAATTAAATATTTAAAATTTAAAACTTACCTTAATGTAATAGCGAGCCTCTCAATCGGTTGTATTGTAATCCTTCGTAAACTGCTTTTTTGTAGCTTATTCTCAATTTTACACAACAGTTCATCAAAAGAACGAATGGACATTCGAAAGTAATTTTTAAATTTACGTTCATTATTTTGTAGTTTTCCAAAGCGTGTAACAAACGCCCCAGCAAGAAGCCTATTTTCAAGAAAGGGATCAACATGTACTCTTGTCTTCTTGTTTCGTCGTTTGTAAAGTATGTAAGCGACACATATTCTTCTGACATTGATCATTTTTGAACACGTCTATACCGTTACGCAGCCCGTAGAAAACTGAAACTCATGCTGCGTATGATCCGCAGCGTGAAATTTTACGCATGCGGTCCAATCCCGCGTGCGTGAGCAAATCCGCGTGACACTAAAAGCGCCCTTATAGCTGGCAAAGGAAATGTTTGGGAATACCCTGTTTTTGTTTATCTAGAAGATATGTTTTAAATTTATTTTTAAACTTGTAACTTGTGTTGAGATTACTTATTGGTAGGTGGGATGTTATTCCAACACTTCGTTGCCATATATCGGAAAATGCCAGTAAATGACGCTGTTTTATGGCTGTAATACGGGAGTGCTGATCTTATGGAACTCAATTGTTCTCCAGAATTTTGCTTAGCAATCTTTATCTTTGCATGCAAGTGCTCTGGCTTTTTTTGATTTGATAACACTAAAGACCAGCTCTCGAAATGTAACTCTCTACGTGAGTCCATATTGAGCATGTAAGCAGTGTCCAGGTAGGGAGTAATGTGATATCTGGGAGGTACATCAAAACAGAACCGACCACATGAATTTTGTCTAAAACACGCGTTGTATTAGTCGCTTTGTTTTGCTGAAAATCCGAGGTCCATAAACAACATCCCCATAGTTGAGCCTAGACAAAACCAATGACTCGCAAAGAGTAATGCGTGATGGTACATGAAGTTAGTCACGGATTTGGTGTAAAACCTTTAAGCGATAAAAATAGTTTTTTACCATATTAAGGAGATGATTTTCAAATCTGAGATTACAGACGAACGTTGTGCCAAGGTTTTTGGCTAACTCCAGTAATTCGCATAATCTATCCCAAGAAGTAACATGTGATCTTACACTGCGAAACCAGTGTAAGGCATCATCAAAATCAAAAACGAAAATCTATCATTTTATAGGAATAAATACTACGGGCTGTTATATAGTCGTTTATACGTTGGATAAATGATAGGACGCATGATTTTCCATCAAACTTAATACTAGTTAAGTCCGAAGAATAAGCTCGATCACACGTAACGACCATAGGGGGCGGTGTAATTGTAAGAGCATCTGTAAATTCAGACAAGGAATCCGTATCAGGCTTAAGATGTTCTAAGTTTTTGAAATTTGTATTTAGCTTAAGCCTGAGGCTTTCTAAAACATCTGTAGACTTTTATCTACTGGATCCAGACGCTGGATCTCATGATATAAATGATTCAGTACGTTTTGAATACGTTTATGTTAATTTTTATCATAATTCACTGATAATGTTTTTAAATTTATTTCAACTTTAACAAAAGTTTCTCTTATACCCTCTACGTCTACAGAAAAGTCAAACAAAGATTCAATAATATCATCTGTAGGCATCGCATTGGCTAAGTTGACTATCTGCCTGTGCAGTTCTTGAACGTTTTTTCCAGGTGTGCCGTCTCTAATGACCACCTCATAGCTTATTTCGTTTTTTGGTAAGGACTAAGATTGAATTTCATATAACATAATTTAAGAAGTCGAAGAATATCCTTATACTAACTAGGTTTATGAGAGCAAGTATTAAATTCTACAAATAACAAATAACAAAACTTATTTGTATGAATAATAAATCTTCCGCCCCGTTACAATTTATATCAAAGTAATCCCCTAAGTTTTCTTTTTAGTACCTAATTAATGATAAGATGTTCGAAAAATAAACTGCAACAAAAAGCATTTAAAAGGAAAGTAAAAATGCAACAAAAATGCAATTGTAGTATATTTGTGTTTTAATAAAACTTACTATTTATAAAACCAAAATAAAGTAATATAATATTGTGTCTGTATACTTAATAGATAAAAAAAATCGATACAGTTATGAACTTTTTACTTTTTATAACACTATATACACTACTAAAATAAAAAACAAGGGTTTACAACAGTGATGCACAGACTTATAAAGACTAGGGGCCACACGGGCAAATTGTGAACTGATGGCGGGCCGCCAGAAGTATAGGTAATTCAAGACAATAAAGAATTGATAATAATGTATTAAAATTGAATAATTTATTAATTTGAAGCGTGGCACTGCATAGTGCCTACAATCTTTTTTATATTTGGCTCAAATTTACTTGTAGCAACACGTAATACTGCTTCCAAACTTTCATTTGCAAGGCGGTTTCGCTTTTTTGTTTTATTATTATTTAGTATTGAAAAGGTTTGTTCATATATATAGGTAGAACCAAATAAGCTGGCACATTTCAGAGCGTTTATGCGCAGCTCTTTGTACGTATTTTTATCAATGCAGCGGTAAAAGTTCAGCAAGTTCTCCTTCGTTGAATTTGTTGCGTAAATCTTGGTCGTTTTGAATGTCGATAATTTCTAACTGCATTGCACTGCACACAGACTCTGGCGCATTTTCAACTGAAATCGTGAAAGGATTGCTGAATATGTCCAACAGAGGTTTCACTTTTTTTAAACTCCGAAAATCTGTCTTGAAAAGATTGAATCAAAATATCTATCTTTTCTACATAACTGAAATTAATCGCAGTTTTGTTGAATTTTTCAGCCTTTTTCTTATAATTCGGAAAATGATTGTAATTTCCAGAATTCAATTGCGATCTGAAAAGTGTCAGCTTGCATTGAAACGATGATACATGAGCGTAGTGCTGGGATATCAGTTGATTTTTGCCTTGAAGCCGTGTGTTCAAGACATTCAAATGATTTGTAATATCAACTAAAAAAACCAAATCACACAACCAATCAGGATTTTTAAGTTCCGGGACATCCCTTTGCTTTTCCCCCCAGAAATATTCCAATTTCTTCTATTAAATTTAGAAATCGTTCCAGTGTCAATCCATAATTTAGCCACCTTACTTCTGTATAATACAGTAAATCTCCATATTCGCTTTCGTCATCAAGGAATTGTTTGAATTGCCTGTGATTGAGTCCTCGTGAATTTATGAAATCGACAATCGAAACTACCACTTTCATGACATTTTGAAATTCAATCATTTTAGAACAGAGGGCTTCTTGGTGTATATGCCAGTGAAACTGCATGAGATCTTCAGCGTTTACGTTTTTTTCTTGCAGATGCTTTTTCAGCAAAATAACTAGCCCAGAATTGACACCAATCATCGAAGGTGCACCGTCAGTTGCAACTCCCGATAATTTTGATAAGTCCAAATCAGTTTTTGAACACTCATCCAAAAGTACATTGAGTATATCAACTCTTCTGGCTTGACCTTGCAATTAACACATTCCTAATAACTCTTCTAAGACTTCAAAATCTTGAGTAACACCTCGTATGAATATCAGAAGTTGAGCTGTGGAACTAATATCAGTGGATTCATCGAGTGCTAATGAAAAAAATTCAATGATCTTAGTTTTTTCATTTAATTGTTCCGCGAGATTCAAATTACTTTTCGAACATGTTTTTTTTTTGTTTTATTCCGGAATATAATTCAATATTTTTCGAATGTACGAGAGTATTATTTTTGCTGTCGGCGGGCCACCAGTATTCGACCGTCGGGCCGCGGTCTGTGCATCTACGGTTTACAATATACACGCACACACAAACTAAAGTGACTGATCCTGAATAACCGAGTTGAGGCGCCAAATGTCACGTTGTTATTATTTGTTCAACAAATAAATAATGACATCGAAATTGTTTTAAGACGTTTAATAATTTTACTAACAAACTAGACTAATATACACACTTCAAAAAAGTAATACTAAATCGAGTCTAAAAAAAACTAATATTATTATATACTATAATTATATAAACTAATACTACAAAGAGAGTACTAATCGAGATTAGAAAGAAAAGCGAGTACTTCCCTGGCACGAAAGGCGGCGAGTCTGGCGGGAGTGGTTGGGGATAAGTGTCCTTTTCCCACCGATTCCACTCGTACGAGTTTAATATATGTATATATATATACACCTGAAAAATGTTCACGCGTGTCCTCAAACACCGTCTTGAAAATAATCCATTCACTTGCGTCTCTCTCGAAGACCGGAAGTCCATGGAGGAAATGAAGCCGGGAAATTTTGTCCTTGCCCGCAATCTTAATCGCACTCTCAACCACGTCGGTCAACACTGACACTTCACTCGCGTGTGTATTC